TGAAATCTTTTTCCTCCGTTCCTTTTAGCTCTTCAATAAGTTAACGTATTGTTTTAGGTTTTCAAAAGTAAATCATTTTCGTCATAAGTTACCTAACATCTCCTGACGATGGAAGAATTTTAAGTTCCGAAACATAGAAAGATTTATGTCGCGATATAAAAGATTTTTGTTTAAATAAAATATATATATATATATATATATATATATATATATATATATATATATATATATTCTCGAAAATTTACGAATTAAATTTTAGTGTTAGTGCAACATATATATTTACTTTTTTTGTGAGACATACCATCTCTCAAAGAATATTTAAAGTCATATATGATGTGGGTCTTTTTTGTTGAAGAATTAGCTTCGGCACGGTTTATTATATTTGGTATAATAGCTATTATATATATATAATATAGGTCGAATTTACTGCTTATAAACTTCAATCTTCCATGAATCTCGTACATTCATAACTGCTCATGGCGTATCAAATGTAAACAAATGACGTCATACATTAAGAATTGGACAAAGTCCGACAATTTATTAAATACATTTTTATGTTTAACGTTCTTTTTTATACAAACAAGTATTTAAGTAAATGCTCTGTTTATAATAAACAGTATTATATATAAAATTATATATAAAATATATATATATAAAAATATATAAGATATAAATATATATATATATATATATATATATATATATATATATATATATATATATATATATATATATATATAAATATATATATAAATATATATGTATAAAATTGAACAGGCCTGACGATTGCATATAGCATGAAACAGACGGTCGCCTCTAAGTGTTGACTTCTATGTTCACTTTTATATTTACACACGCTCTATCTCTGATATGGAGCACTTTATCCCATAAATATAGCACATCTTAAGACTATATTTCTTCTTATATATATATATATATATATATATATATATATATATATATATATATATATATGTATGTATTGAGGAAAATGTATGACAAAAGGAAAAAAATTACTTGTGGGGCGTTTTCATCCTTCGGAATAAATTTTTTGGTACGACTACACATGCGCACGAACGTGGGGTGCTGTGGAATTTTTTTTAGAACTTTTGTTTTTAGAATTTATTTGTTTTAGAAATCTTTTTATATTTGGGCGAATTCATATCGAGTCTTTTTCTTTTTCCTTCCATCACTTTTGTTAGTAGGTATTCCACACTGTAATATTAGAAGATCCGCCCGGAATAATGTAATGTAAGAGCCAGGAAGTAAATTTACTGGAGATGATGACCTTGCGAACAAGGCACTCTCTAAACTTTTACGTCGTAACGTTCTTCCACTTCGTCATACAATTTCTCCAATATTATTCTTGATATATAAATATATATATTATGTCAGATATTAGGTTTTTTTTAACGTCAAAAAACGACATTCTTACGTCATTATTTTTGCACCAACCTAATATATATGTTGACCCCAAAAAACGGGAACTTTTTAACAATTCAATAAAACCAAGAGTGATGGAAGAAAAATATTTTATTCATAGTAATTAAAACCTTAAAATATGCCATTTAATAAACAATGATGGAATTTTCATTTCTTTAAAAATGACGTCCTGTAGATGGCGTCCTCCTGGACGAATGCATTCTTGAAATCTGCTGTTGAGATTCCTCATTGACTGCTGCAACATCTCAGCTGGGATACCGTGAATTTCATCTTGAATTCTCTGTTTTAACTCATCCAGAGTTCTTGGTCGAATTGTGCAAACACAGTATCCCAGCTTAGGTTCTATTGCCAGATATATGGTCATACAGCAGCCACCCCATTGACCCAGAGCTGCATAACATCCTCAAATATTTGATATGGACCACCGTGTCGTTTTTTTTCTTATCAGAACGATCAGAGAGAGTTTCACGAGCTGCTGCACCTTCGTAATCACCATTAGACTCATCCAATTCTTTCCGAATCTGCTACACTGACACCAGATTGACACCCAAACATGTTCGTATTGGATCTTCCGGTGCGAATGTTAAGCAGTACAGCATGCCGTTTCCAAATTTCTGGTGGAATGAATTGCGTCATGGTGATTTGATCCAATATATATATATATATATATATATATATATATATATATATATATATATATATATATATATGTAACCATGGAAACGTGATTTTAGCTGTGTCTTTAAAACCCAGTAATTTTTTAAAAGTTACTCCAAAATTCGCTTGAGGATGAAATGGAATTAATGCTTTTAATTTAATTGCAAAATTAATTTCAGGGGCTTTTAACTTCTATTTTTGAAACATGGTTAGAACTGTGTAGCGGAAAAAACATATTTTAAATCAATTAATTTATAATATTAATGCTCTGTAAATTTACATTGAGCACTATTTTGTAAAAATAAAATATCTATAAGAACACCGGATCATATATCTTACTGCTTTTCTTTTTCTTTTTTTATTTATATATATATATATATATATATATATATATATATAT